AAAAAAAGCTGACTGATCATTTTACACTAAGTTATGCAGTAATTTTCGATTATCTAATTGTTTCGATGGCGTAACTGATAGCTTCTAGCTGAGAATATTTGGAAAGGAACATGAAGAATACGACTTCGGGAGGACACTGAGAGGGTCCAAATCACTGATTTTAAATTATCGAACTAAAGATTATATTTTGGAGCTCACTCGAAAGATTCTCAATTGATGAATTTACTTAGGGCTTTAGGGCTTTAGGGCTTAGATGTGTAAAGCACGGCGATGGGGGCAGTGATCTATATGTAGAGAACATATATTTCCAGATCGATGGCGCTCATTGTTTCAGTGTAACATCCACCCAAAAGCGTGACAGAAATAAATGACCAAAATTACATCAAATGACAAATCAGGTTTATCGACGATTTATGCATGTTTTTGGGTATTTTGGGCAACCCGCGAGTACCCGCCAAGAACCTATGGGCGGGTTCATCAAGGCCAAAACCCGCGGTGGGTTGCCCATGGGCGGGTAAGGAAATTGAAAACCCAACCCAAACCCGCGTTTGGCGAGGTCTACCTTTGCCCATCGTATCAAAATCAAAACACCGGTTGTTTATTGAACATCCGTTCTTTAAACATGCCGTACCCAGTTATCCTAGTCACATTCAGTACCGACTGTCTTGTTGCTAGTGGAGAAACAGCCGGATTAGTGGTTGCTTGCTGTCTCTCTGAGGACCCAAAAACCAATGTCGTCGCTTTGGAGAGCGGCCCTGATGCCTCGCATGACCGTCGAATTTAAGAATCTGAAGCGTGGAGCTCCTTGACTGGATCGTAGCTTGACTGGAAAAGGAAGATTGTACGCCAGGTTTGTCGTCTCTCATGTCCAAGGCAAGGAGAAAGTTGGCGAAAGCTGGCTTATATCATGGCCTTCAAGTCCGGCTTCAACAATTGATAGCTAGATTATCCTTTAGGGGAGGTTCTTGGCAGGTCCTCGGCCGTCAAGGGGCTGGTGTATACACCCCTGTCGCCAGCTGCAACCAATGCATATGCACAACTGAGAAATTCCAACTGGAACAGGGAGAATTTGCAACCTTATCTTCAAGGATCATGGCCTTTCAACCCACCAGAGCCAACCCTACGTGTGACTGAGCTTGAGCATGATTCTACTCATAGGCCAATCCAAGTTGCATTTCCTGCCTTGGACGACAGGAAGAGCCTTCCCCTCGGAGAGCCACGGAAATATGCATTCAAAAGCTAGGAAAATGAGTGTTGCTTGTGATTATTGCAGGAAAAGGAGTGGCCGGCACCCGTAATTTTATAGCGACCATAGATCCCCGCCTCAGGCCTTTGCAGCAGCGCGGACAACGAAGATGGTAGATTGGCATCCCAGCGTGCCAATGTGAATTTAGTAAAATGAGGAACAGTTCGTCAGATCCTCTTTTCCTCTCCTTTGAGTAGGACTTCAGCAACTGGAGCAGAGTTCTTATTTGATGGCGAGATCATGAATATTCGGGTACCATAAGAAGTCATCCTTGCGGCTGGTGCTTTCCACACTAAAGCTACGGGAGCTTTCAGGAATAGGCACCAAAGATGTTTTTAGCCATCTCGGTATCCTGCTAGTTAGTGAACAACCAGCGGGAGGCGGGAACCTCCTAAACCATGTGATGAACATGTTTCCTGTTTCCCTCAAGCCACATTCAGACCTTGAGGGGATTTCTCTTTGTGCCAAGGGTGTGCCATTTGCACGCCTCTACTATGAAGAGCAGAACAGGCTCTTTTCTGGGTGCTCTGAGTCCATGAGCTCACCGAGGCAGGTCATTCGATCAATCCTAGATGTCAACCCACGAAAATGGCCCCCCTAGGCCTTAAACAGGAACCTTGGTTTTTGTTATGGTCCAGTGGTAAAGTACGCTGTATTTCGTTCCACACTAGACCATCCTGATGAAGCTTCTGCGGTGCTCCTCATGACTGTAATACCTGGAAACATGGTAATTCTAGGGTTTTTCAAAAGCTTCCCTCTTTGCGAATAAGCAGTCATATCCCATTGGCGGATGCCAGTGAGATGCTCACTAATGACATGCGATACTTCAGCGATGATCTAGATACAGAGATCCTGGCTCGACTTGTACAAAGCTTGTATCATCTAACCGCAACTCAAGCTTTTCACGCATTATTGTAGCCGATTTCAGGTATAACGGGCTTTTTGAAGCACCCAAAGAACAGTTGCGCGAAGCGGCCGTATTATCTTGTCACCATGGATGCGGCACTGCCGCTATGCTTCCCCGCGAAGCCGGGGATGTCGTGGATCAAGATTGAGGGTTTATGGGACGGAGAATCTAAGGGTAGTTGATGCGATATTTTTTTTCCCACGTATCGTCAATGTGAACCTCATTGCGAAAATGTATGTGGTAGCTGAGCGGGCTGCCGACATCATTCGTGGGGTCTGTAGGTCTGGGACGATATCAACGGTTTAGATTGTGAGATCTAAGTAAAATTCCTTCTTTTCTCTTGTCGCCCCAGGAAATATTTGAGAAAAAGGAGGTAAAAGAGGAAAGGCAAAGAACTCAGTGGCTCCTTCTCAGCCGTCAAATTACGTTTGCAGTTCCAGAGTTACTCCAGCCATAACCATACCTCAATCTCTGGATCGCTCAATCACCCACTTTCTCACCCCATTGCCATTACCCCGAACTCTTCATGAACGAACATATCCTCTTTGTTATGTTCCCGATGATCGGTGTCCCTCTTATCGCGTTGGCAGCAGCGTGGATCCAGCACATTTTTACCCAGTTTCGTATTTGGATTATCGTCCGAACAATAGAGGCCATTACGAAGGATATAGAAGCCTCTATGAGCAAGCTGAGAGCACGGAAGAAAGAGATCACTGAGCTCAAGAAGCAGATGAACACGGAATTATCGGCTTGGGAGAACCGGCTGCGCACGATTATACGCGACCCACCAACCTCAGAGCAAGCTAAGGTTACGCAAGACGAGAAAGAGAGGCTTAGAACTAGGGTACTTGTGATTCAGCAGAGGTTCACCGCTCTATTGAACGACTTTGAATCTATCAGTGTGGCGCTTGAGAGACAAGCTGACAGGCTGCAAGCCCTTGAGGAAGAGCTGCACCAATATCGGTTAATTGACACCACTGTTTATCCACGTCTCTTGCTTTTTACTGACAATCATGCATAGCGATAAATGATCAGACTTCCCGCATGACTGGCGGTTGGTCTCGGCTGGACTTTTTGACCATTTGAGTGCAGTCTGCATGTACTCGGGTTCCACATCTGCAGGTGTCTAGCCCAAAGCCTTTGCGTCACTATGGCCAGTGAACATATCAATTCTGGATTAATCAAGGAGGTTGTCCAACCATTGTGCACGCACATAGTAACAATGTAGACGTCGCTTGTAAATTTTGCCTTGGTCATGGAGCCCCCGCCATCGAAGACATGCCGACGAACAATTTCTAAAGTTTGGTGGAGCTGTGGACTGAGTAAGCATTTGCCCAAAAAACATTTCATGTCATGCTGATGTGAGATCGGGATCTAACAATACACCATGAAGCGCCTAGCAGTATTAGCAGTCTCCATGTGAGGGTCGGAAAGAGCAAGAGCCGAGATATATCACTGTCCCAACACCCCAAAATCAAAGGAACTCGACACGATGTGAGCACCTTCAAGGTCATCCTCTAGATTCTACTAAATTAGAACCCAGGTCCCTACGTGATGAACTGGAAGTGACAAGAAGTGCTGATTCCAACAGCCATGATCCGAAGCAGGGTTATTCTCCTCATTTGTGCAGATCCCCCGGAGAGAAGAATTCCGTGAGCCATTTTCGGTTTCTCTTGACCATCACCCCGCTGTTTTCTTTACTTCAGCTTGTGAATGCTCTGTGTTACTATCATCCCCACATCGTGGCATTCCTCATTCGCTATTGCCTCTAATCCCCACTTGCTAGGTACTCGGCCAAGCCTCGGATGTTTCAGCCTTGACTCGATCTTCGGAAATTTCTGGTCTTGACATTTGCCGTCTCCAAGTCTATAAACGATAGCTGGGCGACGATAAAGCTGCTATAAGAACAGGAAACAAACTTAAGAGCCATTTTTCACTGGTTTGCAGATATCGGATAGTGAGCATTTTGCAACGTCTCTCCCCAACATGGTTCGCCTTCATGGAGTGCCCTTGTTGGCAGTCATGGGCTCACTTGCCCCGGCTAGCCAAGATATCATGAGCAGTCTCGATGAATTTCAGTCCAAATGTGTCAATTTTGGTGACCGAATCGACCTTCCCAATGTCAAAATTAACTTTGTCGAGTTTGTGCAGGGAGGCACGAACTTGTCCTTGACAGACAATCCACCTAGCTGTGGTAAGTCGAGTCAGACAGTCTCTGTAGACCTGTGCCGAGTCGCTATGGCCGTGTCAACCTCGGACAGCAGTGAGATCACGCTAGAGGCTTGGTTCCCCCATGAGTACAAGGGCCGTTTCTTGAGCACCGGAAATGGTGGCATCTCTGGATGTAAGTGTTGTTTCTGAAACAAGCATGTTAAGACGTGCTAATCTGAACACAGGTATTCAATACTATGACCTTGCATACACTGCACAACTAGGGTTTGCCACTGTCGGCGCCAACAACGGCCACAATGGTACCTCAGGAAACCCTTTTTACCGCCAACCTGAGGTAATCAAGGATTATGCATACCGCTCCGTTCACACCGGAGTTGTAGTAGGCAAGGAGCTCACTAAGCAGTTCTACGACGAGGGCTTTAAGAAGAGCTACTACCTCGGATGCTCCACTGGTGGCCGCCAAGGCTGGAAGTCTGTTCAAGAATACCCCGACGACTTTGACGGGGTGGTTGCTGGTGCCCCAGCCATAAACCTGATCAATTTGTTTTCATGGAGCGCACACTTTTATGCCATCACTGGCTCGTCGTCTTCCGAAACATTTCTGTCCACGGGTGAATGGGAGATCGTCCACGAAGAGATAATCCGCCAATGTGATACCAATGATGGCGCGGAAGATGGAATTATCGAAGATCCCGATCACTGTAGCCCTGTCTTGGAAACATTGACCTGTGACCCCACTACTACAAACAAAACAAGCTGCCTTACCAGCACCCAAATCAACACCGCCCAGCAAGTGCTATCGCCGTTGTATGGAATTAATGGCACCCTGCTATATCCCCGCATGCAGCCTGGATCCGAAATCTTCGCCGCACCTATAATGTACAATGGCAGACCGTTCCCATACAGCGAAGACTGGTACCGTTACGTTGTCTACAACAACCCATTCTGGAGCGGGGCCAACTTCACATTGAACGATGCTGCTGTGGCTCTCGCTCAGAACCCGTACAACATCCAAACATGGGAAGGCGATCTATCTTCATTCCAAAAGACCGGCGGAAAAATCCTGCACTACCATGGCCTTCAAGACCAGCTGATTAGCTCTGAGAACTCCAAGATGTACTATAGGCACGTGTCAAACACTATGCAGCTACCTCCGAATAAGTTGGATGAGTTCTACCGTTTCTTCCCAATCAGTGGTATGGGCCATTGCGGTGGCGGTGATGGTGCTTATGGTATTGGTCAGGGCATCAGCACTTACTATGGGATCAATCCGGAGGACAATGTTCTTATGGCAATGGTTCAGTGGGTTGAGGAAGGCAAGGCACCGGAGACTGTTCGCGGCGCTAAGTTTTCAAACGGCTCTGGCTCTCAGGTCGAGTACAAGCGTAAACACTGCCGTTGGCCTCGGCGCAATGTGTTCAAAGGTCCTGGGAACTACACCGATGAGAACGCTTGGCACTGTGTTTAGGCTTGCTTGCCTTTGTTGTGCATAGGAACCTTTCCAGCGATTTAGAAATACCATCGGGGTATCCTTAGCTTTGATCAATTCAACTCATGTCTGATGTAGAAAATAGGTTTTAAACAGGAATGGAAAGACGTCATATCGGCAGAAAGCAGACGGAAGTCATCGGCAAAAACGAGGAGCAGTGGCAGACCGCCTAGCTGACTGCCCCGGCTGAATTGCAGATCAGTTGAGCTGTGCCACTACAACTTCCGCTATCGTTCCTCCTTTCTATATCCTCTTTAAATGAAACACAGCAAATTTCGAAAGAAGACAACCTGTTACCAACCCTACCAGCCTGCGCACGGATCACCACTCGAGGCCCTCCATCGAAGCTACCCTCCGGAACGCGTGTATAGAGCGGCGACAATCCCGCGCACTCTTGAGTTCCGAGTTCATACCTACCCGTGACCCGTTCGACCCACCAGTGCACCTCTCCAGCCCCATCCGCAATTGTAGCTCCAGACATGGACCAGTTCGCACAGACTCGTGGTGCCGACGACCTGTTCGACGATGAGATCATCCCGATCTCCACGGTAGTGCAACCGGCGCAGACAGAGGTCGTTGCCCCCGAGCCAGGGCCAGAGCCAGAGCGACAGGAGGTATCTATACCCGAGAAGCCAGCTCCCGAGCAGTCAATTTCACGTGGGGAGACTCCGCAGCGGGGCCGTGGTGGTGAACGAGGCCGGGGACGACGGGGTCGGGGCAAAGGAGGGCGCGGTGGACGAGAGGAGCAAACCCGGTCAGAAAGCTCTCCGCGCAAAAAGACTCCTGTCAATGCGTCTGCTGCTGATGCGCGCGAGGCTGCTGCTTCGAAGTCGAAGCCTGAGAAGCCCGTTGAGCCTAAAGAGCAGACCGCCCCGGTCGAAGAGGGTCATGGTGAAGATCTGACTGCGAATGGCGCTGAGGCCGCGCGTGTGCCAGCTGTTCGCGGTGATCGGAGTGCCACTGGGGGCCTGAGAAAGGTGTGCTCTCCTTCTCCTATAAAGACAACGAGGGTGCACAGCTAACTGTTTACTTCCAGCCTAAACTCACGGAAGAGGAACTCTCTAAACGAATTGCCGCAGCCAAGGAGAACGCTGTGAAAAAGGCTGCTGCCCACGCTCGTGCCGAAGCTGATCAGGCGTCATTTATGGAGCGCGAGCAGGAAGCGGCGAAGAAACGTCGCGAGGAACTTGCGCACCGCCGCATGATGGATACTGAACGCGAGAAAAACCGACAGCGGAAACTCAAGGCCCAGACAGGACGTGAGTGGGACTCGCAGAAACGCGAGGAAGATTATGACCCCCGCGGTGGGGGCAGCCAATTCAGACGCGGTATGCATGGCGGCGTGTCTGGTACCGTGCGACGAAACTTCGAAGACGCCCGTTCAGAAGATGTTGTAGATCACTCAGGTGGTAACCGGGGTCGTGGAAGAGGCGGTCGAGGTGGCCGTGACCGTGGATCCCCGCGTACCCCTCGGGGAGACCGGCTGCGCAAGGGCTTAGCTGACAGTATGTTCGCAACGGAGAGCCCCGCTGCGCTGGCGTTGGATGATAAGAGTGCATTCCCGGCTCTGCCCGAGGGGCCCAAGAAGACTGAGACTAAGAAAACTGAGCCCAAATCTGCTCCCACGCCGGAGACCAAGGTTACGACTCATAGTAAAATCGAGTCTGAACCCGAAATTGCTCCTGCAGCATTGAATTCACAAACAGCAATGGACAAGTTGGACTCTACGTTTTCGCCCATTACTGGAACTTGGGCAGATCAGTTTGAAGATGAGTGATGAACTGTCTCACTGGTAAATTACTTTTTGGGGGGGGGTTTTGGTTCTTATTGGGGTTTAACGATACTCTTCCCGCATTCACGACATGAACAGACTCCTGCTTTCCTCACTTGCAATTTGATATCCCGCCTGTCCTGGAGCCTTTTATTGGTAGCTGGAATGGGTCAGATGCAAAGATTCGCCAGCATTACATATTTGTACATTGCCGCTCATAGCGTCCACTACTTTCTGGAATGATGACTTGTGTTATATTTTTACTTCTGAGTGATTTTAGAATAAGCACAGTCGGCCCCTAATGTGGTCTCGGTCCTTGCCGATGTCCTTTAGTAGTTTGATCCATTTGGATCGAGATAATGTAGGGAACAATATTCAACTTTTTTCTGCAGTTGAAACCTCTTCCAGTTCACAAGGTCCCAACCCTACCATGTCTTGATCCCAATCACGCAGAGCACGCCGCCGCTGTCGCGGCGCATCACACTGTTTCCTTTCTGTATCTGGAGCCCAAAATCTGGAAATCACCGCATTAAATGTTCATCCCCTGGGCCGGTAGTACGTGGGAGTCCTTTCTCTTTGCAAGCAGGGCTGGATGCTGCGAGATCAAAAGGCTCACACAAGCAATGACAAAGACGGCATACAGATGATGTTCGAAAGAAATAGAGGACATTTCTTGGTACATTCATTCCGTGAACCACTCGTCGAAAACCATACCCCTTTCGTGTTCATTTGGTGGTCTTTGGAAGATGCGTTCGAAGCTGAAGGTCTTAGGCTCACCATGGACGTGCCCATTTTCGTAATTGGTTCTCCGAGTTAGTTGAAAAATTAGTCTCCGGGCCCTCTCAGACCAGGAACTTGTTTGGGCGATGTCCCTCAGTCCAAATTTCCAGATTTCAATGTCAAATCGCCATGTTGGCTCGCGAGTGGCAGTGATGATACCGATGATCTTGATGATATGCCCTCATCCGAGTTGCTGTACCACCACTAAGGGCAGTCTTCCATAGCTGGTAATGTGATTTTGAAACTCCGACGTCAAGGGGTGGAATCTGCTGATCAGTCCATCCCGTTTTCAGCAATCGGGGTCAGCCCCGAGGCGGCGTAGAGGTCATGATGTGCCACAGGAGCCCTCTCAGCGACCTCCCTCTCATCGACGAGTCCCTCATCCAAGATCCCTCCGAGTTACTGCCAAATTTAAATAAGTCGTGGACGTGACCAGGCTCCTTGGAAGTGTCAAATCTTTTGACGGCCTTCACTCTCTTCCCATTTCGGTCCAGAGTGACTTCACCTTGTCTAATATCTGTTGCGGGACCACATCACGGCGATGTTGCTTTGTTGTATATTGATTCTTTGAGTCGGGTTCAGATGCTTGACATCCATCGATCGATCCATTATATCAACCATGTCTGGTAAATTCGGGAATCAAGGTGCCAATAGAGTGGGCCTGAGAATCAATCAATCAATCAATCAAAGTTCAATTAATCTGTTGCAGTCTAACTAGTTGCGTATGACTATGCAGGCGCTTCTCCAACCGAAGCAAGAACTCAAGACCCAACGCCGAGCGGGATCGCTCCCAGAGTATACAGATGATGCCGAAGTGAGGAGTGCAGAATCAGCCATTCCCGTAACCCGTTCAACCCATACCCGCAAAACCATGCCCAACCCCATACAAAAGAAATGATTTGATGAACGCAGTGGAGTGCTCCCTCCACTTCAATCTCACACTCCCTTCTCACCTCCATACCTCGCTTCTCTCTGCTTCCTCCCCTGCCTTAGGTTCAGTTGATGGTGACGTTCTTGGTGGCCAGTTCTTTGGCATATTTCGTATCCCTAGCTAAGTTTCTCGCGTTATAGCTTTATTCTCGTCATTGTCTAATACCTATCTTCTTCCACACCTAGATCTATTGCCGTGAGGCCTACCGGTTCGTCGTCGTCCTCGATTCTAGCGTGTCGGAATTGCTGGAGAAGACCTATTTAGTGTATAAAGTTGACCACGTAGCGGGTGGCCTGCGGGTTCGAAACGATCTTGTCGTAATCCATCTCGTTAATCCTAATATCCCACAATTGCTTCCAAAGCTTTTTACACGGAATAGTATACCGGGGACACTATATCAGGATATATTTTGGCGTCTACGAGCCCTCGTCGTATAGACACCGGTCTGTCTCAGCGGCCTTGATTTTGAATAAGAAATGTCGAAGCCCGATCCGTATTATACGTATCTAAATCGGAATGGCACATTGCGGCTTCGATAGCCCTTCGTATAGTCGAAGTGTCTTCTTGTTCGGCGCTTACACTAAGCGCTTTATCGGCGCGGAAGTCGTCTCCCGCTCCCACTCCCGCTCCTACCGCTCTCTAACTCGTTAGCGTACTACTCTCTTAGCTACTGCTGCGAGGCGGATTGTCGGTTTTCCCGGATCGCCGCTCCTAGAAGCGCTGCACCTTTTGCTTCAGTGTCGGTATATTTATTGCCGCTCACCCTAACGTGTGCGGGGATCTACCTAATAGTGACTATTGTTGGTTCTTATTAGACTTAGT